ATCTATTTTGTGATAACAAAATCCCGAAAATATCCCAAATGTGGACCAATAGGAGAACAGACAAACCAGTTATAGGATACTCACATAACGGATGAAACACTACAGGTAACAAAATAAATTAACAGTGTTAAAGTCAGGGGAGAAGTTCAAGAAAATACACAGTATAATACCATTTTCCTGAGGTTTAAAAAATTAAAAAAACTAAACTACACAAATACTGTTAAGGACTCCAACTTATTTGATGAAACTATAAGAAATAAAGGGTGGGGTGACCACAAATAAAACCCAGAGAAGGTGGTTTCTTCTGCTGGGGGAGGCCTGGTGGGCCAATGGATATCGAAGAGGAGGATACTGGGAAGTCTGGTCATATCCTAGTGCTTATTTTGTTATCATGCTTCATCACTTCTATGTGTTAAATACATTATGCATCGGGTATTGCCTATATTTTTTCTTTAAAAATGGTAACACAAGTTTAATGTTTCCTGACAAACTGTAAGATTAGAGTCATAAAACGCCATCTCTCTAGACCAGCTGATGAATAATTATCTATTAATCTGTTATCTTAAAAGCACAATCCTACCCAACAAGAATAAACTATGTACAGGTTCTACATACCATGCACGGCATGTGGGGAGCATGCACATGACCTTCATAATGTCAGGTCACTGGGACAGTGCAGCCACCGGCATCGGGATGCACAGAGTTTAATATCATACAGATATGACCCAAAAGTGACAGAAGTGCTGGTAAGTCAACTACGGTACTAAAAAGGCCAGTAAGAACTCTACTCCATCCCAAAAGTATTTGTCTTGGGTCATCTCTAATGAACCTAGAAGAGTCAGCATATTTCACAGGGGCTAAATAAAACTTTTTAAAAGGTTAACGGAAAAATATTTATGTGAAAAATGCCTCCAAATAATCTTTTAGTGGGTGGATTCGGCACATACCAGTGAATACCTTTGAGCTCAGTCCAATTTTGAATTAAGCTAGAGTTCACCTTTGAGAAACAATGAACCTGTTTTTAAGTAAAACTCGGTATTAATAAGAAACAGGGAACGTGAATACAAAAAAAAAAGATATTATCAACTGAACTATATCTAAGTATTTTACAAAGTTTCCATGAGCCGTCAGTAGATCTTTAAAACGCGTAATCTTTTCTAAAAAGTTGTTCGCCATTCATCTGTAAAAACCTCGCTTTTTATGTGTATGCCAAGCGTTACATTGCCCCGCGCTGGATTTAACACGAGCCTCACGTTACAGGGCGACGTGCTCTTGCCCTTCAACATGACTATGACAGTGACTCACAAGGGGAAAAACACACTGCGAACAGCCTGCCTCCAACTGCAATCCGGGCCGACGAGGAGAGCCTGGGAAGCCGGCAAAAATTAGGTCCATGCTTTAAGTCTGCAGGCAATCAAGGCAGGAACCAGGCTATGTAATCACAATCACTTGCAAGACCATTTCAACTATGTTTCAGCTGTAATTGTTAGCAGTTTCTTAGGACTGTAATCTTTAAAATAATATCTTCCACCAAAAAAATAATGATGTCTCCCACTTCAAAAATTAAACGCACATGGACATGAACTTCGTCTACTTGGAGTTAGGTACCAGCTGTGCCACGTTAAAACTCTCTTCTTTCCCCTTTCTAATTCTGCCTTCCTTTCTTTTTTCTTAACTTTTGTACACTATAGTTCCATGTTAATTTCATATTTATCCAAATAATGGCTGGCTAAATATTTTATCTCATCAACTATAATCTGTGCAGGAAGGTAGAGTTTCACAAAGAAAACAAAGTGAAGAGCCTCTTTATGATGACATTTTGTGTTTTATGAAGTAGTATGTTACCTTTTCAGATGTTATTCAAGGAAAGCTCATCGTTTTACAGAGATTAAAGAGTCTCAACATTTAAACTGCTATGCACAACTCTCAACAGAGCACACGGAGTAACCAGACGCACAGTGAGATGCCGGGGGTCAGACACCGGGTCAGCGAGGCAGCCGCCCGGCAATCTCAAGTTCCTGTCTCCCCCCTCACCTCACCTCCCCACCCCCGTGCCATCCTGAGAAGGTCCTGCTCTCCCACCTGCTGCAAAACACGAGCACAGGTGTTCCTCACAGAAACCACTGAGGGCAAACTGTCAAACTCCGGGAACTAAGTAGAAGAGATTTACCCTAAATGTACCATCATACATGAATTTAAACTGAATTTAGGTAATGGAGTCATCACTTGAGGGATCAGTTCCTAAGAAGAGACCGACCTTTTCCTAGTGCTATCTTTAAGTAGCTGCGAGCTGGCTCCAGAGGATTTGGGGCGGTGTGTGTTTGTGCTGGGGGGGGGGGGGGGTGGCGGTACTCATTCCAAGTGGCAACCTGAGGTGGGGACCACTCAGTGCTCACAGGGAAGGACCCCGGGGTCAGCTTTCTCACCCCTCACAGTTGGGAGGGGGTGAGGGATCGTCCTCCTTTCAAATTCTCAGTGTGAACCGCTGTAGCCCAGAGAAAGTCCTGAAGTGCGTACAGTATGATAAAGCTGTAAGCTGAC